TGTTGATGGTGAATGTATATAGTGTGTGATAGTGTATAGTCTGTAAATAGATTGTATATATATATATACACAAATTAGCATGATACATGGTAAATATGTGCAACATATGTGTACACAAGTGTCATGCACGTAACACAGTGTCCTCGGACAGTACAGATGTTTTACTTCCATAATATAGTGTACGTGTTCATTATACATAGGATTAGCATGTAAAAACAAATAAAATGTATTTGGAACTGTGTGCAAAAAATGAACAAAAATATATTCGCGGCAACTCGTGCGCCCCGCCCCGGGCACCCTACTCGCCCCGGGAGCGTGCGTCATGGGCGAACGGGGAATGATGACATCACGCGCCAATTTATGGACCCCATAGCAGCCAAAGTAAGTTCAATTTCAAATTTTTTTTGAAATACCCATACTGATTCAATTCAATTCAATTTCTTTCTTTATTATGCACCCCATACCCATCCCTTGGGCGGTGGTGTAAAGGATTACAGAGGCACATAATCGGTTCAGGAACTGAACCCTTTAGTTCGTTTAGCTAAGCAAATAACAATATTTGACGCTAGTTACAAAATTATCAATGTTGTATACACATGTACAAACCCTCATTCATACATGTACATATATATATACGTATACACATATACATACACATACATATCTAATCACCCACACAATTACACACATCAATAATCTTTGTGTCACAAGTGACATTACAAGAGGCTCACAACAGTCACTATACGAGGCACTTTATATCTATAGTGAGTCACTAGTCTTGCTGCACACCCACCCAACTGGGCGGCAGCTTTACAGTCATGTGCATGCATTACCTACAGTAAGCAAATTTTGGATACTTCGCTAAAATTTTGGGCAGCACATCATTATGAATGAAGTACTTACACATTTCTTGGACACTATTGATGGTGTTATCTCTAAATTCCGCAATTTTTTCACATTCCATTATATAATGATGCAAAGTATGCGAATAGTTCTGCTGATAGAGTTTACATTTAGTCAAATCTACATCAACAGATGTTACAAACTCCCAGAGGTAGTTGTAGCCGAGCCTAAGCCTAGCAATGGTAACATATAGAAGTCTGCTAACATTATTGGATGACCCATAGACGTGCGGTTCTTCATGCATAATAGAATGATGATAGATGGAGTAACTGGTGTGAATTTCACTTTGCCTCAAGTCTCCGAAATTTAGTTGATGTTCCTGAGATATTGCTGCCCTCAGGCTGCTCAAAGACAGTCCAAGTTGGTAATCAATTCCCTCTTTACGAGCAAAAGTCTTGGCTAGCTCATCAGTTCTATCATGCATTCGGAGACCAATATGGGAAGGAATCCACAGGAGACAAACTCTAACTCCATCATTGATTATTTCACTATATCTGTATCTAGCTTCAGAGATAACCACGTCACAGTTATGCCTTGGGGAGCTGAGGGCACCCATACTGAGGGAAGGGTTTTTGACACTAAAAAAAGAAAAGAATTTTTTCAAGAGAATATATTTCCTGCGCACTGGGGGGGGGGGGGGGAATGTCATATTTGGAGGCGGCGCAGTTAAAGGGTTAACTACACTTAGGTCATTACACCCCAGGAAGCAGCCCTTGACAGCTGTTGGGTTTCTGGGGTTTTGACTCAAATATGGATTTATTTAACTAAGAGAATTAATATACTCGAAGGACCACCCATTTTTTAGAAAATTGGGAAAGCAAATAAAAGGATTATAAGACTGACACTATAGAACCAGTGCCTATGAGTTCCTTCGGAGACTCCCCTTCCGCCTCTCTTGCAATCGTTGGATTCGTTCCTCTGGGGATCTTGTGTTGGTGCTGCGTAACCAGCTACCTCTTTGGGGTTTTCGCAGTTTCATGCCTTGGCACCTCCCCGAGCCTTCGCTCGATGTGTTCACGGACAGGTCATCTCTCGGCTGGGGCTTTGTGACCAGTGCTCACCAGGTCGGCCGGGGATGGTAAGGTCAGTCCGTGCGTTGGGCTAACAGCACGGTTCAGAAGTTCGTGGCTGTCTGGTTTGCGCTTCGGAGAGTTTGGGTCACTCAGTGCTCTACCATTCAGCTCCATTCGGACTGTTCTCTGGGGGTTCTTTGCCGGAACCACAGGGTTTCTCTTAGGTGTTTGACCTTTGGGGTTGGTCCCTTAGAGTGGCTCGTTTGCTGGATTCTCAGGGTTTGGCTAACCGTGAGGTTCATGTCCGGCGTGTGTCCTACATCCTGGCAGACAGCTGTCTCAGTTCATTCCTCTTCGCGGACTGGCCAGTCATCGCTGACTTGTTTCGTTGCCTCTGCCTAACGTATGGACTCCTGGCCATGGACATCTTCGAGTCGGCGTGGTCTAGGTATCGCCCATTCTATGTGGCGCCCTTACCCGCCTGCGAGGCGTTCACGGTGGATGCCTTTCGGCAGGACTGGTCGAGGTGGGGGGTACCTGCTCCTCTTCTCCCGGTCCAGCTGTTGCTTTGGGTTCTGGCTCGGTTGGAGCCCATTCCCACGAGATTAGTCCTTATGACCGCTTGGTGGTCGACCCAGCTTTATTTTCAGACGCTGTTTGATAGGTGTCCGAACCCGGGGCACTTTCCCGCGGCTCCGCCTCTTTCGGCAGGTCGGACTGGTCCTGTACGTGACTGGTTCGGCCTTCTCCTCAGCTCTTCGCGTCTGGTATTTTGACGCGGGTATCACCATCTCTGTGGCAATCAGGTGGCTTTGTTACTGGTGTCCCACCTGCGAGCATCGTCTCGGCGACAGTATGACGTTCCTGGTGTTTCTATGCACTTTTTCTAGCTCTTCGTAGGTTGTCTTCTCTTTCGTATCCGGTTGTCTTGTCCTTTCTTGGGTTTTCAGGACTACAGTTTTTTATGTTTCTTACTGTCGCCTCGTTTTGTGCGGCGCTGGCGGAGCCGCTCCGGCTTGCGTTCGGGGCGGATGTCACATCTGCCCTGTTTCGTATACTTTCTCGTGTTTTGTTTCACCTCCGGCCTGCTCATGCGTCGCCTGAGCCGCCCTGGTCCTCGATCAGGGTGGCTTCTTATCTTCTCCTCAGTTTGTGGTAGCCCCTTCATTTCAGGTTTCTGCTCTTTTGTACTAGTGATAGGTTTGTACGTTTGCAGCCTTTCTCCGTCCTTCTGGCAACGGTTAGGACGGCTGCTTAACGGAGGGGTTCTTGGGTTATTGATGCTTGATTGGTTCGGCCGGGGGTGCGTCCTGTATTGTCCGGTTGTGCTTTTTTTGCCGTTACCTGCGTACCGTGTCTGGTGATGCGCTTTGGGTTGATCCGGTTCCCCTCGTTCACTGTTTTAGGGCTCGGGTCTCCCAGGTCGTCCGCAGAGTCTTTAAGTCTTCTAGCCTGCAGTCTGTCCTTGTGTCCATGCTGTTCGGACGTTTGCAGCTTTTGCTGCAAAAAAGTTTGCAGCTTTTGCTGTGTTGGTGACGTCTAGGGCTCTTTTTCGGGGCAGGGATTTGAGGGTCGCACAGGTTCTTGGCCGCCCATGCTTTATGCGCGTCTGCTCCTGTGCGTTCTTGTTGCCTTGGGTTGCAGGTTACAGCCTGTTGTCTCGGCTTCGCGTTGCAGAGTTTGTGGCGGTCGCCTCCCGGGCAGCCCTTTCTTTTCCTTCTCTTTGGGTATGAAGCTCCAGGGAGCCGTAGAGGCTCCCCACAGAAAACCAGCTTTGAATGTAATGAAATGCCATTTTCTGGGTGAGCCCTGGAGGCTCCCTGGCAATCCTCCCTCCCACCGGTTGGCGGTTTTCTCGCGTTGGTTGAAGCTTAGCTTCCGAACTGATGTTAGGCAGCCAGCGCGGTAGGTCCGAGGCTCCCCCCTCCCCCTCTCGGGGCGGTGAGGGCTGTGCGGACGATCGGCGCGGCAGTAAAGTGTGATGTTGGCTTGTTTCCTTGTTTCCTTGGGATTGTAAGGAATTTCTACCTCTCTGTTCAGTTTTTTGTTTTACCATGTGGGGTTTGTTTTGTTATGCCTACCTTTCTGGGTGCAAACCCCGGGCGATGGGATGCAACCTCGTAGGGGACCTCGTAGCGGGATAGCGCGCAGGACTCGTAATTCATTCCCGATGGGCAAAATTTCTTTCATCCTGAAACCTAGCAGTAAATAGGTACCTGGGTGTTAGTCAGCTGTCACGGGCTGCTTCCTGGGGGTGGAGGCCCGGTCGGGGGGCCGCGGGGACACTAAAGCCCCGAAATCATCTCAAGATAACCTCAGAAGATAACCAACCACATGGGGGTTTTCCAGGGCCATTACTTCCTGAAACCTCACTGAAGGGGGCAGGTTCAGGCGCTGGTCCCTGGTAGGCCTGAACTCCTTAGCTATTGTCCCGGTCTAATATAACATACATTAACCTGATAAGCTCCAGGGAGCCTCCAGGGCTCACCCAGAAAATGGCGTTTCATTACATTCAACGCTGTTTTTTTTTTTCCAGACTTCCCTACCCTATTGCGGCTAAAATATGCCACCTACGATTTTTTTGTTATTTTTTCCGTGATCAGGGAACAAAAATGAACATGTCTATAAGCTGAAATAATTGTTTTGATTTTTTTTTTTTTTGGTTGCGCCTGTGGGTGTTAAATCCATTTGGGCCCCTAGCGGTTTGAGGATTAAAGAAGCTGTTCATGACTTTTTTAAGACTGAAACTGGAATATGCAGTGGTTGTATGGTGCTCATATTTCAAGAAGCACATCAATAAACTGGAAAAATGTTCAAAGGAATGCTACAAAATGGCTACTGAAACTGAAAAACAGTAACCATGTGATAGATGGTTGGAACAAGTTGAGTGAGTCAATAGTTTCAGAGTGCCATATGACAAAGAGTACTGGGACGACAGGACACCACTAGTGTAGCTCTCATCCTGTAACTACACTTAGGTAATTACAGCAAAAGGGAAATATCTTACAGCTGTAGTTAATAACTTCAAGTAATTTTTAGTCTATTAATTTTTTAAATGCTTAGTAAAACTTTTGTTTGCCAAACCTTTCAGGTGAGTGTCTGCAGCCTTTAACATAGCATCTCTCTGTTTATGATAAAAATCTTGTACTTTGTGTGTATGCTTGAAAAAATCTTCCATTCCCCACAGCTTGAGCAGCTCGCTCACCAATACCTATAAAACGAGTACTATTTTAGAATAAGTTAATCATTAGATTCTAGTTAGAATCATTAGAATTAGGTAATTATTTTAACACCATAAAACATTTTGGGTTAAATTTATTATCATATTGTATTTGTAGGCCAAATGAAAATCCCCAAAAAATTCAGGGGTAATATTTAGATACACAATACACTGTTGAATGTAATGAAACACCACTTTCTGAATAGAACCATCAGTGGCTTCTAAGCAATAAGAACCAGTATAGCAGGTATAGAGCTACTGTACTATCATAATCATGCCTCCAACAACTTTGGAATGCCTACCAACCTTTAGGACCAGAGAGAAGTGTGTGGGGGTCTCAAAGCACTCAATCCCAGAAACAAAACACCCTCAACTCTCACTACAAACATACATCAAAACGACTTAAAACATGTAAACCAATAACTACACAGATAACTACCCTGCACCAACCTCTCACACTCATCACCCAACCTGTCCTCTCAAAAATAACGTCACTTTTGGCTGGTATGCGCGCTATGGCGAAATTTGGACATAATTTGAAATGAAATCGACTCACAAAAGTGGCGTACTGTTCCGTTTTCTGTTTGAGTCGTCCGGCTTGCGCGATAAGGTTAAAAGCGGAAGCTTTCAATTAACGTTTTTCATAACATTTTGAAACTTTATGAGAATTTCTTGCCCACCTAACCTATCAGGGGACCCTTAACTTACTGTTGTTGAAAAAATAAATCCCAAATTTATTTTCATTTTTCTTTTCATTTTCAAATTACGTCCATTTTCGGCCATACGGCCAAAAGCGACGTTATTTTTAAGAGGACAGGTTGCATCACCAGGTGGAAGCCAAAGTCATAATGGGGGTGGGGGGGGGGGAGTAAGGTTGCTGACTAACTACAGAATCACTTATGAGCCACAAATTTAAAACCAATTTTAAAAATTTAAAATTTCCCCACAGGGAAAGACGGGAACAAGAGAGAGAGTGTTGCTGTCACATGATGGTAATCACGGTAACATTATTGTCCTAATCTGTAATTAACAAAACATAAACTGCAGCATTTTGCAATTTCTTAATTATTGTTGCAGTGTCCTGTAGAGGGTATGTTGAGAGATGGTACCTCAGTGGCTGTTTGAATGAGACTCACCATTGACTTCCATTATAAACATGGTGAGACTATTTGCTCTGGCTCAGAGAGCATCTAGGAGCTTCAGCTCAGAAAATATAGTCTACACCTAATTATTGAAAACTATATCAGTGGACACAACTCATTTCAGTCACTGTGGACAGTGTTTTGCTAATCTTTTACCACACTTGAAATTTCCTATTAGTACATAGCATTTGGCTCTGTAATTAATTTTATTCAATTATTGCATTTGCATCTCTCAAAGTAAGTAGTATGCAATATGGAACATTCTTATGAGTAAAATATGACCTAACTTAACTCAAAGTTAATCCCAGAAACTAGAAATCATCCATATGAAGGGGGATTAATAATAAGTTACAAAGGATATAACAAAGAGGATATAAATAAGGTTTTTAAAGATAGTGACACAAAATAGAACATGAAACATTGACTATAAATTAGGTAAGTTTAGATACAGGAAAGACACCTGCATAAATATTGGTTTGGAAGGTTATGGATTTATAGGACAAATTAATGAGTAATATAATAGCTGTGGGATCACCGAACTGTTGTGTATGTAGAACATATACAGTATATATAAATGAATTTGGGTTAATATAAGTAGGAGCTTCCTCATATGGTCAATAAAGCCTTCTGCAATCCTTTATTCTTATGTTAACGTGACAATTTTACTTTTCTGGGGGGAGCCCCGCCGGCTCCCCGGAGCTTTACCGGCTGATATGCTAATGTCAGACTTTGGCATCAGTCATGTGTATGGAGTTCTAGGGCCTACCGGGGACCACGAGCCAGAACCTGGCCCCCTCAGAGAGGCAAGGGAAGCAATGGCCTATAGAAACCCCCGTGTGGTTGGAAGCATTCTATGTCTGCCATCGACCGGGTCAAGCATCCAAAAAGGTAAGCATTCCAAAACAAACCCCTATTCTGGTGAAAATTGCTACCTAAAGCCGAACTAGTGGATAGAACTCTTCAACAGAAAACAAGGAAACTAGTATGACGTCATACGTCATCGCGCTGCTGTCTGCGCAGCTCCCCCTTCCCCGGGAGGGGGAAGGGGGAGCCCCAGACCTCCCACGCCGGCTATCCACCCATCAGTTCTTCGGCTGATGCTATAGGCAACGGCTATGTGCTCCAGCTCCAGTGGTTGTTTCAGCACTGTACCCAGAGTGTGGTGTCTATTTTCTAGGTGGTGCGTGAGCCGGGAGTGATTCTTCAGTACTCGGGCTGCATGCGCCTAGGGTTCCCTTCCCTAGGTGCCCTGTAAGTGGCCCTTGGGGCTTGGGGCCACCTTCCACAAGTTCCTTGGGTCCTGCCCCTGCTTGGCCGTTTACTGCTTGATTTTCGGCCGCTCTTTGTGTGCTCGGGTGTTCTGTCTCCCTTGTTCGCCTTAGAGTAAGGGGCAGTTTTTGCACTGGTGGGGCGCAGGGTACTGTGCAGCTTGTCTTTACCAATCATAGCGGCTGGCTCTGTTCCGCTTGGGTACGCTGTCCTCTTGCGGGGTTTTCTTTTTCTTTTTGTTTATCTACCTGGTGGGGGGGTCTGCCTTCGTTCTTGCCCCTTGTGTCCCTTGTGTTCTGAGTATTTTCTGGTGGTACCTCTGCTAGGTCCCCGTGAGTGTACACGTCCCGGGGGTTCAGCTCTTAGAAAGTTAATTGGTAGTTTTGGGTGCCGGTTAGCAGTACCCTGCCTGGGATTACCTGAGCGCGAGTCCTCTTATAGTAAACGCTCGGGACCCTGGGAAACCCCTGGGGGCGCGCGGGTCCGATGGATGTGACCCCAGAGTCCCCCCCTCGCTTCCAGCGAGTTTGAGGGTTGCTCTCACCCTTTGTCTCTGGGTGACTCTCTGTTTTGCCTCCGTCTGCTGCCTGTGGGGTCAGTGACACCTTCGACCCGGAGTCCTGCGAGTTTGGTTGCTCGTTGTGGCTCGGTTACCCAGTTGTGCTAACAAAGCGGGTGCGGGCAGCAGGGGCGTTGCACTTGAGCCTTGGTGGTGGCAACGTTCTCGGGGTTTCCTCCCCGGGAGCCCCGGGGCTGCCCCGTTGTAGTTCGTTTTGGGACTTGGGGGTGTTGGTTGCTTCGGTTCCATCCACGCCCCCTTGTCTTTCCCCTGGAGCACCCTTCCTGCCTGCATCCGGTTCCTTACCGTCTGTAGGTTCGGGGCGGGGTTTTTGATGGTGTTGAGACTCGGGCAGTCTCGGGGAATTCCCCTTCCGGGGTAGTGACGGGGGCATTTGAGCCTGATCCTCCAGCCGTGTTGTACGAGTCTGCCAGTAGGCTCCCTTCATTAGTGTTTTCACGGCTGCCCCGGTTTTCTGGTACGGCCGGGGCTTTGGGGGAACGGCTCGGCCCCGGGGCCTGTCGTGTAGATTCCCGGGGCTGGGAAGGGGCTGACTTGGGGGGCCTTGGCCCCGTTGGACCCCGTGGGGGTTTTTATCCCCCTCTAGGCGGGGCTTGTGGTTACGAGGAGTGGGGTTTTTCCTCCCCAGTCGCCGTACGTGCTGTTGGGCGTCGGCCTCTCCCCGGGCTCGGTTCCTTGGCCTTTGAGTCGGTTGGTTCCGTCCTGTGGGTGGATGTTTCCTCCCACCCCTTTTTGGGACGGTGTTTTCGTCATGTTTCCCCGTTCAATGGGGTTCTGCGTGACTTCTGATCTCGGGTGCGCCTGCGCCTTCGTATGCCTTCAGGACTAGTGTTGGCTTCTGTGTTCTCGAGGGTACGGGAAGGTTTTTTCGCTACTTCCCGCATTATTATAACGTCTGTCGGCTCCTCGTCCTTGTCGCCCTGTTGGGCTACTTGTCGCCCTGTTGGGCTACTTGTCGCCCTGTTGGGCTACTTGTCGCCCTGTTGGGCTACCTGTCGCCCTGTTGGGCTACCTGTCGCCCTGTTGGGCTACTTGTCGCCCTGTTGGGCTACTTGTCGCCCTGTTGGGCTACTTGTCGCCCTGTTGGGCTCCTTGTCGCCCTGTTGGGCTCCTTGTCGCCCGGTTGGGCTGCTTGTCGCCCGGTTGGGCTGCTTGTCGCCCGGTTGGGCTGCTTGTCGCCCGGTTGGGCTGCTTGTCGCCCGGTTGGGCTGCTTGTCGCCCGGTTGGGCTGCTTGTCGCCCGGTTGGGCTGCTTGTCGCCCGGTTGGGCTGCTTGTCGCCCGGTTGGGCTGCTTGTCGCCCGGTTGGGCTGCTTGTCGCCCGGTTGGGCTGCTTGTCGCCCGGTTGGGCTGCTTGTCGCCCGGTTGGGCTGCTTGTCGCCCGGTTGGGCTGCTTGTCGCCCGGTTGGGCTGCTTGTCGCCCGGTTGGGCTGCTTGTCGCCCGGTTGGGCTGCTTGTCGCCCGGTTGGGCTGCTTGTCGCCCGGTTGGGCTGCTTGTCGCCCGGTTGGGCTGCTTGTCGCCCGGTTGGGCTCCTTGTCGCCCGGTTGGGCTCCTTGTCGCCCGGTTGGGCTACTTGTCGCCCGGTTGGGCTCCTTGTCGCCCGGTTGGGCTCCTTGTCGCCCGGTTGGGCTACTTGTCGCCCGGTTGGGCTACTTGTCGCCCGGTTGGGCTACTTGTCGCCCGGTTGGGCTACTTGTCGCCCGGTTGGGCTACTTGTCGCCCGGTTGGGCTACTTGTCGCCCAGTTGGGTTCCTTTTTGGGCTCTTTGCTTCTTTGGCCGGTTTTATTGTTCCTGCTTCCTCTTTTGGCTACTTTTCTCGTGCAGTAGTCCTGGCTGGCGCCTTCCCGCAGGGAGGGTGTGCGGTTTGGCCAGCGTGTTATGCGCATGCGCCGTGGAGTTTGTTATGATCTGGGCGGTGTTTCAGTGCTGGTGTTTTGCGCCCTTTTGCTACAGTGCTTCGCCTCTCGTTCTTCTTCCTGGCTGCGGTATGTGCCCCTTCG